TTTTTACAAACAGAATGAAGAAAAAGAGTTGGTGGAAGTAGTATTATAACACAAGAAAACATTAAATAGAATTTAAAAAATCACTCAGATGAAATGAAAGGAGAATGGTGGAATTCAGAAGAGACCACGAGAAGCAGGAAAGATGGCATTTCTCAAGTGAAGAAGATTCCAGTTAGAGCCAGAAGATATCATCATTAGCATACGGAAGTTAAAGGGAGTTGACTTGGGAGAAGAGATAATAAGTTCAATTTAAGACATGTTGAGTGTGAGGCAATGACATAATGCATAAGCGATAGTCATGAAGTAATACAAATCCTGGAAGGGGATGGATGTTCATGGCTACCGGAGAAAATACAGGATTCAATAGCACATACTGGCAACTACATTCTGAGACTTGGAGGCCACTATCTGCCTTGACTTTTTTACCCCATTCAGTGATTGTAGATATTTGTTACTTGAATAGCTATTGTGTGCTAAAGATTTCCTCTTAATCTTTTTGTCTTTTCTCTGCCTTAATCATCTCTGTGGTAGGTAAGGAAAATGATCCTCCTAGTTATTAAAGTGCTCAGCTAAGGGCAGAGATCACATCACTGCCTATTAAAATCCTACTTATTTAAGATTCATTCCAAATGAAAAGTTGTTATGAAAATTTGAGTTCCGCTTCTCAACTGCCAGAGCCCTTTGTGCTGGTAACCATGGCAACTGTCCCTTCCTACCAGGTTACACATGCATGTTTCCTGGCTGACTTTAGTTACTGAAGGTCAGAAAGGATGCACTGTCTATTCGTTTGCTTCCACAAATAGCATTCTACACAGCCCCATGTTACGATTGCAATAGAAGTCTGTTAGCTTATGAGTGAATCGAGAAATTTCAACAAAATCTAAAAGAATTACCGGGCAAGTATAGAAGGACCAACAAGACTCACAAATATTTCCTGCTGACAATAAGTTCTCACTTAGTGAAAAGACCAACAAAACAAAAAGACCTGAAATTGCCAAAACAGAAAGAAATGGAAGAATAAACTTCTAGAGGTCCTTGTGACTAGAGGAGAGATGAATGCTCTAAAATTAAGCATGGCATGAGGAAAAGGTGACAGTGGAGGGCCCCTTCTCCTTCTTAACTCTGATTTGCTTTAGTGTGTATTAGCAACAAATGAAGATGCCAGTGAGTGCATCTTGCAATACGCATCTCTCTACCCTTCAAAGATGGAAAAAGAACTTTGTGGTAAGAGGGTTGAAGTGACTTTCATATGGAGAGTGGTATTGGATCCATCAGTACCAAGCTCAAAGAAAAAGCAGCAAGTAAATTTCTGAGAGTTGTTGCCTAGCGTAAAGTGAAAGCCAAGATGGCAGAGGGGTGTCTCAGTGTGGCCTGTAAAGTGGAAGCCAAGATGGCAGAGGGGTGTCTCAGTGTGGCCTGTAAAGTAGAAGCCAAGATGGCAGAGGGGAGTCTCAATGTGGCCTAGTTGACAGTGGGAACTCTTCTGGGAGTTAGCCACCAATCTCTAATCTCTGGTCTGGTGTGGAATATTCCTTTACACTGTGTGAAAATGTATCATTGTGATTGGTTTGATAAAGAGCTGAATGACCCATAGGTAGGCAGGCTGTATAGGCAGGACTTCAGGATGAAAGTTCTGGGAGGAAGAAAGGTGGAGTCACCAGCCAGAATTTAAGAAAGCAGGATGGGCAGTACATAGTGAAGGTAACTGAGCCATGTAAAAGAGCATAGACTTACAAATATGATTTACCTAAAGTTATAAGAGCTAGTGGGACAAACCTAAGTTAAGGCTAAGCTTTCATAATTAATAATAAGTCTCCATGTCATCTTTTTTGAACTGGAGGCCCAAAGAAAAGCCCCAGCTACATTGATATGAGTTCCTTTACTATTTACATTTTTATAATCAAAGGAAATGTATTTAAAATTTGACTTTTAAAGTTAAGAGACTTCCTCTGTGATTGGTACAGCCACTTGTGTCAGGGGATGCTGTAATTGAAGCTTTCTCTGCCCAATCCTGCAGCCACTTTTTTAAAAAAAAAAATCGCTCAGAGGCTTAATATCAAGTACAAAATGCTTGGTCCAACAGCTCAGACTCATTACTAAGTAGATTTTCCTTCTAAATTAACCCATTTCTACTCATCTATGTTTTGCCTCGTGTCTCGTGGTTTTACCTGTGCTCTAATACATCTTGTTCCTCTGGAGACAGGTTGGCATATCGCTTGACTCTGCCCCTCCTTGTTTGAGTTCTCAGTTTGATTGTTCCACCTAACCCTATCCTGCCTGACTATTGGTCAAACAGCTTTTATTATTAACCAATGAGAGGAATACATATCGCAGCATACAGAAAGATCATCCCACAGGAGGACACAGCTGGAAGAGTAGGAAGGGCTTCTGAGGAGGGCTTTGAAAATGAGATTAAAGTCATATCTGATGCATGTTCTTTGGCATGTGACTTGAGTCTTTTTTCTCTTCTCTCTTCCCCCTTCCTCTTTCCTTCTCTCTTCCTCTACTCCATTCTTTTTCTTCTGTCCTAGGGACTGAATTCTAGTCCTCACTTGTGTAATTATACCCTCAATCACTCAGTTGCACCCTCAGCTCTATTCAAATCTTATGAACCTCCATTCGTCTTTGTTATCTGAGGTTTCTTTCTTTTAAGTCTAGTTAGACTTAAGTTGCTCTGGTAAACATCATGACTAAAGGCAGCCTGGGAAGGAAAGAGTTTATTTGCTTGTATGTCATAGGTCACAGTTCTTCACTGAGGGAAATCAGGACAAAAACATGAGGCAGGAACCTTGAATCAGGAACTCAGGCAGGTACCGTGAAATAATTACCAATGGCTTGCTCACCTTGCTTTACCACACAATCCAGGACCACCTTCCCAGGGGAGACACCATCCACAATAAGCAGAGCCCTCTGGTGTCCATCACTAATCAAGAAAATGTTCCACAGACATGCCCACAGGACTGTCTGATGGAGGCAATTCTCAGCGGAGATTCTCTCTTTCCAGAGAGAATTCTTGCGTTCTTAACGCAACGCTAAGTTTGCATTGTTGACAAAATCTAACCTGCGCCAATCTAACTCACTGAACCTGGAATTTACCAATTCAAGTAGCATGGTTTGCGGCAAGCCCTAAGAACGTTCCTGCTTCTTCCTTCCAAGCACTGAGGTTTTTCAGGTGTGTCCACCACCCCTGATATTCTGTGGATGGAATAGCAGGATCCAAACTCGGGTCCACACAATTACATAGCCGGCATGTTACCAACTGAGCCATCTCCCCAGTCTCCCTAGGTAATTGTTCTTACAAAGATAGCCGTTGTGAATCTATAACTCAGTCTTAAAAATGAAGATATTTGGGCCAGGTGTATTTGACACTGTTTGAGAACTTGCTTAATAATGTGATGAATTTCTGAGTTTGGTTCTCTCTCTCTCTCTCTCTCTCTCTCTCTCTCTCTCTCTCTCTCACACACACACACACACACACACACACACAAGTGGAGGGGAGAACCTAACATTTCTTTCCAGAAATTTTTAAAGACTTGTGATAGTATTTTAATCCATAGTAAATTGTGTCTTAAATTCTCCACAAGGTGCTAGAGAAGATTCTTTATCTATAATTCAACTATTAATTTCTTGTGAAAAATAATGCCCAGAAATTGATGTACTTAAGAGTTCTCTAAGATCCTAAAGCTAGAGAGAGCTACAGGGTGTAGATGTGTTTAGAGGAAGCCAAGTGGGACATACCCTTTCAGCTCTAAAGTGATGACACTTGTGGTAAGTGATTGCCCAAGCTGTAGTGGGTACAACAAGCTCGGGCTTGTGTGCGTGATTTCTAAAGCTAAATTCTTATTGGAATATAGAAAGGGATCCTTTCTGATAAATATAATTTCCTTGATTCATACGATAACTCACCTTGAACAAGTTTTCAAGGTTCAGAGAATACGAGCAAATTAAATTCCAAGCAGAAAAGCATGCCTCTTCAGTAAACCCTGTTCATAAATATTCAAAGTAATTTGGGGCACGTGAGAATTTACAAGTAGCCTCTACAGTGTGAAACAAAAAATGCACAGGCGAAATGACATATTTGGGCTTTTATAATCTCGTTTTAATTGTTATGGTGTCAACAGTGAGAAAACCTTGAGTGCTATATGAAATTGAAACTAGAAATTTATTAGATATCCCCAAACGAGAGGCTACCTCAATGAAGGGTCTATGATGGCTATTACCACCATATGTAGTTTCAATATTATTAATATTTTAATATTATTTAAATCTGGGCATCCAGACTTAAACACTGTTGTTCCTGGAACTTGGCGGTCCATCCCATTTCTTCATAAAATATTAAATGCCAGAATGCCATAAATGTTAATGTTATAGTATTAGAAGTAATTTTATTTAACAAAACTTATCATGATAAGTTGTACAGGTAAGTAACAAAATCGAAAATGAAATACTACACATTCTTTTTACACAAAATCGGTTCTTCTTCTTTATAACCGTATTAATAAAATATTTTTAAATACGCTTAGTCTTTTTATCCCCCAGTGGCTATGATGAAAGAGAACAATGCTCTCCATTGAATGGAGGCCTTCTCCAGTTTCTCATCGGTTATGCTCTCTACTGGTCTGCAGACACCTTGGTTGTAATCCTCTGTCGCCTACAAGGAAAGCCGTGGTGCACCTCACAGCAGCAGGGGCCAGTGGGGACTATTCTGCACTTGCGTTCGTTCTTGTTGTTTTAAAAATTGTTTTACATGCGCGGTGATGCCCACAGGTGACAGGAAACCAGTGTTTCAGGAGGAAACTTGATCGTATCTCTAGATCACTCAGGTATCCCAAACAAGTGTGCGAGTGCCTGCAGGCTTCAGGCTGGTGCCAGGAGCACATAGTTTTTGGATTGGTAAGAACTGCCAAATGACGCTTCATGAAATATAAATGAAAGAAAGACTCATGGAGCGCAATAAAAACCCTCCGCCCTTCAGTCTAGAAGGACCAGGGAGAGAAGTTCAGCAGCTACGGGATATGGCTCTGGGGGTTGCAATGGTAGTCTCCCTCCTGTTCAAAGGTAGGTCATTTCCTTTCTGTTTTTTTTTTTCCTTACTGTAACGCTAAAAAAAATGTAAAGATTTAGTTCCTTGAAGTCGAGGTTGCCCCTGGCAAGGATCAGAGCAAGGAATGTGTGGATTAATCGGGTCTTTATGGAATAGATGCTCTTTTTCTCTCTTGGTTTATTTTAAGAAGGCTAAAATGATTGCTTTAAGCAATTTGGACAGCTACTGCCCTGCAGTAAGCCGTGTGCGGGTGATTGACTCAGCATGTAAACACACGGACTTTCTCCTAAGAATGAATGTATTTCAGTGTTCCGTGATTGTAATATTGCCAACGAGACAGCTAAAAAGTAGTCTGGAATTGCCCTTGTCAGGTTCTGGATCCCATCAACTATAGCGAGTTAAAACCAGAACAGAAAATGGGAATCCCTAGACAGACCCGCTTTGGATCTGTTGTTTGAGCACCGCGGAGACTCACCGGTCAGAGATGCTTTTCCCTACCACAGCCATGGCGGCCGCACTGACGGAAGAAGAAGCGGAGGTACGCATGACGATGCCTCCTACCACAGCACCGCGGAGCAACTGGACAGTTAACGACACAGAAGGTATCGCCTTGTCACTCTGTTTCTAGCACCTTCTTTGAAACCTTTAACAGAAAGTTGTATTGTAATAGAGACAACACTGGAAACATTTCAACCAACATTTTATTAGATAATTAGCTAGTTTGGAAAGACAGAAAGATGATGCCAAGCTGAAATGACAGGTAGATGTGCCAGTCAGGGGTTACTTTTTTGTAAAGGAGGAAGTGAAACAAGGGTGAGAAAAGCTGCCTGTCTTCAGCTACTTTCCTGGATGTGAGGTCTGGCACAGGTTCTGCTTGGATCCTGCTTGACTCCCAGTGACCCAGGTTATCCAGTGTAATTGCATTTGACTTTGCCGTTCTTGAGGAGCGTCACTGTATTTTGAACTCTGACAGCAAGCTTAACAGCCGCAAAAATTATTGATACAAGAAGCAGTGTTTTTCTTCGTCTTAGGAAAGGTCTTTTTTGCTGTTTCCTGTTGTCATTTTAGCATAGGCAGCATTTCCTAACCTTTTCCACCCAGTTTTTGTTACTGATGGTGGTCACATATTTTCTTTCCCCTTGACTGTGCATATCACAGAGGCTTCTGGCTGCTGCGGAGCATGGCGTTGGGCGTTGTGGCAGGGCTTGCAAACCCATTTGAACCACAGATGAACTTGGAAAGTTCATTGCCTGTTAAGACCTGTGTCTGAATGGCTTTGCCTCCCTCACAGATCTCACAATGTCCCCTGATGTAAAGGCTGTGGGTTGTGATCAGGGCACAGGCAGCTCCTTATCTTGATTTCAGGGTCTAGCCAATAAAAGAAGGTGATTCCAAATAGTTCATTCCTGAATATTAAAGATAGTAATATCAAGCTGTTCCCCCTTTCCCCATGATTTTTAAACACCCAAGTTGTCCATTTGATTTTTGAGCCTCAATTCATAAAACTGAACTGTAGAAAATATAAAGACATGGTTTCATTTTAGTGGCAGACGGCAGAGCCATGTTTCCAGCACCCACCCTCCCCTTTTCCTTCTCATAAAGCAGAATGAAGTGCAGACAAAGTCTTCAATTTAGATAACAGAAATGAGGAAAGAGGGGAGCAATTGTGCTATATTTTTCCTTTGCACTATTTTATCCATGGAAAATCTTGTATTTTCCCCTTGTTTTGTTACAGTGCTGGCATGGACTCCAAGGCCATATGCATGCTTAGCAGATATTCTGTAACCGCAATATAACCCTTATTTTTACTTTTAACTTTAAAATATGAATCATATCTTATAAATGTTTTAAAGAAGTTATAAATAATATTCTCCTCCACAAGGGAAAAATGAGTCTCTCTGAAGTGCCCTTTCTTTGGAAATGGTATCTTTCAAATTTTCATATTTTCTAGAAAACCCTTCTTTAGATTTGGTTACATGAACTTGGTCACTCTTACATTAAGAGAAACATAGCGCAACTTAGATGAGAAATTCTCAGTGTCTCCAAATCAATTCCTAAGGTGATAAATTATGCTTAAGATACTATAGTCAGCAAATTGAGTTTCAATTTTAAGTTCTGGAATGTGTCTTCAAAGCAAAGTGATATGGTGTCCTGTTGGTATTCTATGATATAGACACTTCGTATTTTTCACATGAAAAGGAATGATTTCAGCTTTTTTTTTTTTTTTTTGGTCTAAAGACACCTGGGTAGTATCCTCTTGGTCTCCTTAGGAATGCACACATGGTGTAGCATGACTAATGACTAAGAGTGAGGAGATGGTCACTCAGCACAACATAATATGGCAACGATTCAATTATGCAGTCGTCCCTAAGAGTCTCTCCCACTGCATAAGTGCCAGGGACCGCAGCGGTGTGTGTCACATCTGGCATGCCAGAATCAGTGGTACCCTGAAACACAGATGATTTTCCGAGCACCCTTTCCTGACACGGGTGTCCAAGAAGAAGGTTTTGGATCACTAGACTACACACCATGATTATTTTTGCAGTGCTGGAACAAAAGAAAGAAAAATCTGTCTCAGAAGCCACCTCTGTGGCTTTGCCACTGCTTTACGACACAGTAGAGCTGTCACTTAGTATGTGGTGGTGTTGCCATTGTCTGTGTCTGCCTGAGCCCCACATGAAGTCTGGCTTCTTATATCAGTCATAACAGCCCCTTGCTAGACAGCCAGTGGAAACGTTCCCTCTAATTAGCACCTCGTGGCAGTCGGTGCAAGAGTGAAAGGGGCTCTCGTCTTTTCCTCTGGACAGGGCATAAACATCTATTTTATTATAGAGCGAAGCCGCATCCAGGCCTCCCTGGCTGCTGCCCTCCCCATGCGGGGGAAATGCAAAGTGAAATGAGGCCTTCTTTCTAATTAGCATCAGGTACCTGGCTGGGAACCATAGTTCACTATTACCTGCTAAGCTGGAACCGATGCTGCCACCTTTCGACCAACCCACCTCAATGCTTTGTTATGTAGCTTCTAAGGAATGGGGCAGTCACCAATCCACCTCCATCCTGTAATTAATTAACAGCGTGCATAGAGATATGAACCCAACCTTTTGTGCAGAACACCCCACCTCCAAGAAAACCAATGTTTCAAAGGACAGAGAGCCTAAAATATTCTTGAAATAAAAAGCCTCTTTATACATGCATTGAATGTGTACTGTAAAAGCAGGACACACTGAACTGTTGATAACGTCTCTTCTTTTCTTAGCCGACTACATAGAGGAACCTGTAGCTTTGAAGTTCTCCCACCCTTGTCTGGAAGACCATAACAGTTACTGCATTAATGGGATGTGCGCCTTCCACCACGAGCTGGAGAAAGCCATTTGCAGGTAACTGCGAAGAACTCGGCAAGTCTTAGAGACAGAAGAAAGTGGCAGACGTAGCACGCAGTTCCCCCTGTTCTGTTTGTCCAATAAGACCAGTGCGCGTTAGCCGATCGGTATGTCTTCCCTGGAGAAGACTGTTTCTCCTGCTCTCCCCATTCCCTAGTTAGCTATAGCTCTCTGTGTAGGGGAGACATCCTGAGTCCTCCCTCAACCCTAGTCCACATTAGTTTGTCTGCTGCCATTGTCATTGTTCTGGTCATATTTAAGCAGTCACATTGGTGAGACCTCGTGGGTGTCACTTCTGCCATTTCTAGGAGAGCCAGTGTCACAGCAAGCTCTCTCTTCCTGTTTGGAATATGGAGGTGCTTAGAGGAAGAAGAGGGATGGGGAGGTAATTCTATTATAATATCAAAAATTAATTATAAAGAATAGGATGATGAAATGTCAAAAGAATGCGGAAAAATATTGCTTGATCTGATTGTGACCAGGCAGTCTTCATATTTAAAAATGAAGAAATCTTTTTCTCTAAACTACTTATCCATGTTACTCAAAATTATAGTTCCCAGACTGTAGCATGCATGAAACCTGGAGCTTTCTAGAAATGCTGACTTTAATGGTCTATAACTATCAAATCAGTATCTTCATTTCTAACAACAGGCAAAGATGACTCTGAACTCTCATAGGGTTGCAGAATGAGACAAACTCCCACAGAAAGAAAATCTATTCAAGAAGATGAAGCCCTGGAGCTGCCATGGTCTGTTTTTAGCCACTGGCTTGCTCAGTGAGGGAATAGGTGGAGGCAAACTGGCAAGACCCTGGTAAAGCTCAGGCTGCTTCTTTAGTGGACTGGCTCCCACGTATCTCTGCAAAGTTGTCTCTTTTCTAATTTGTGGAAGCCTGTCACCTGTTTGTTCTTCCGTCACTGAAGGCTTTAAGGCGGTGTATTCTTTTCTCTCTTTAAAGGTGCTTTACCGGTTATACGGGAGAAAGATGTGAGCATTTAACCTTAACTTCGTATGCTGTGGATTCTTATGAAAAATACATTGCAATCGGGATTGCCGTTGGATTACTAATTAGTGCTTTCCTTGCCGTCTTATATTGCTATGTAAGAAAAAGGTATGAAAAAGACAAAGCATTAAATGGGTTGTGTGTTCACTTGACAAGTGTTTACTGAGTCCCTACTGTTGACATGTGTGTCTGAGAAGACCTTCTGTAACATTTTGGTGCCTTTTCATTAACCCAGACAAGTGGTAAAAATTGCCTTCAGATGCAATAGAACAGTGCAAATTTAAAGTTTCCTTTCTTCTTATCTGTGTTTACCTCAGTCAAAGTTCTGAGTGGGAAGGACAACAGGCCTCTAGAAGACAGTAATGAAGTATGTCTTACTGACGATTACGAATTTAGTGTCTAAAACTGCATACATATTGTTGAGTAAAAACGAAGTTAAAAGCTAGGCATTGGTGGCACATAATTAATCCCAGTGCTCGGAAAGCAGAGGCAAGTGGATCTCTGTGAGTTCAAGGCCAGCCTAGTCTACAGAGAGAGTTCCAGAACAACCAAGACTGGCTACACAAAGAAATCTTGTCTCCAAAATCCAAAACAAAATTTAAGACATGCTTATTAAATAAATGAAAATGTGTGACAAATATGGGCCACTTTCTCCATAGCCATCAAGAGTATGTATCTTTAGCAATACTGTCTGCTGCTAAAAACCCAATATCAAGAACTTAATCTGCAAACAAGTTTAAATTAGTTATGTATGTACCATAGTATTTCAAATTTCCACATGCTAGTTATTTGTCATCAAATCCACACAACTAAGAAAAACTCAAAAATTAATGAGAGGCACATTAAGAGCAAATGTATTTCCTTTGTGGTACTTTCACTATTCTCAGTTTTTAAAAATCAACTAACTTCCATGACCAAAGTTAGAAGTGTCTTTTGCTTAATAAATGCCTAATCAGAAAGAATTGAATATGTGTTGTATTAGCTTTATTCTTGTCAAAGAGATGAAGAATAATAATGAAAAAGAGGAGGAAGAAAGCAAAGAGGAGAAAGAAAGGGAAGAGGAGGCAGAAGAGGAGAAAAAGGAAGAGGAGAAGGAAGAGAGGAGGAGAAAATGAATGAGTGGAGATTTGTAGGCATCCAAGAGCTGGGCTGGAAAGTCAGGTTCTCTGGAAGAAGGGTCTCAAATGGAGATGGTTATGCATGTGTGGTTGTGGGTGGTATCTAAGACAAAACCTGTAGTGAGGTAAGGAAAGCAGGCAACACAGCCCAAAGCTGCCAAGCAAAGGTGTGGCTTCAGCTCCAGTGCATTCTGTGCCTGATTCTCTAGCGACAGAGAGAAATCAAATGACATCATTGACCCATCCCAGGGAGGAGTGAGTCTTGGCTTTAATATTCCGCATCAGTTAATCATGGGTCACGATGCTCACAGTGGAGTAGTGATTGGGGTCTTAAGAAACCTGTTGACAGAGCACGCTGTTGAGCAGGGTGCTACTGTGCATGGGTTGCTTCCTGCGACTGAGTGAGGCATCCACCAGAAGACAAATGGCATCTAGGAAGAGTACTAAGAGCAACTGCTACATGCATGTGTGTGTGTAATCCATAGTGATCAAAACAGACAGCAAGCTCATGGAAACCAATGTTCTGTTTCAGATGTTTAAATCTGAAATCACCGTACATCATCTGCTCTGGAGGGAGACCAGAGCAAGGCAAATTCTTCAAGTCATTTGTCAAAAGCAGTGGGGACTCCGATGGAGATCTTCAGATGATACAGAGTGCGGCAAACTAGCTTGAAGATAATGGGAGTTTGGTCACAAAGCAATAAGAGAATAAAATTGACCATTGGTTCTCAAGTTTGCTGTCTTCGGGTGACACGGGAGCTACGTGAACAAGCTACGCAGACGCCAAGTTTACAATGCTACTTCGGGTTTGGTATTGTGTGGTCATTGCCACTGTAGGAGGACTTGTTCCATTCTTCTGATCATCTCAAATGTGAATTTTCATTTTAATCATTTACTCCACATCAAGTCAAAGTAGCGCCCTGCCTGTGTTCTTCATGTACACAACAGTTTACATCACCTGTCTCAACGGACCTGATCTCAAACCTTCTGTCCTCATGGGATTTCAGGAAATTTGGTATCAACTTCTAAATGAAACCAAGGAATGTCTCTCTGAGAGAACTAAAAATGCATTCAACCCGAACCACTGAAAGGAAACGGCGTACCCAAGCAAGCATAAATCATACGCAGCTTGGGACAACAGTATGCAAACTTTATTTGCGGAGTTTGGAATAGCAAAGGAATTCTCAAGAATGGCAAGTCACCTGGACAGTAAATCCTGAGTAGGCAAAACTGCTCCTGCTGTATGGATCATAAAGCCTTGGGTTGGGATAACTGGCCACCTGGTGCTCTTACTCATCATCCATCCTTCCATAAGGCTCACCTGGCGTCCGTCACCTGAACTGCAGTCCTAGAACTCACCAAGCAACTATAAGCCTCCAACTGATCCCAGAATGGAAACAGAGAACTCAATATAGGAACAACAGCTTGTGGGATGTTACCATTCTTGATCGATAACATATTTGTGCTTAGGTAAAAATGGAACAATGGTAGAAATACTTATTTAGACATCAGGATCCTTCATTTGAATTGTGTTTCTGCCACATGATCCAGTCTTGGACACGTCTTTTGCTCTCTTTGGGCTTTGGTTGCATTTTCTATAAGACCCATGTAGCTCTGAATTGAACTATAGAGGAAGAGAAAAAAAACCACAACTCCTATATCTGCACTGTAAGTGAGATAATCTTCAACACTTCCATTATCAGCCCCAAACCTAATACCAAAATACCCGTGGGTGGCATCCTTAGTATGTATCTTAATGTTCAGTTTGTAAGATAATAATTTATTTTTAGAGGAAATACAAAATGAAATTTCAGAGTGATAACAGCGACTGTTTTTCTTTCTGTGTTTAATCTAGAACTACAGACTTATTTTTTTCTCAGAAACAGAACAATTTGATCATGAGATTAATTCAAAGAAAGTGATACTTGACTATTCTTACAATAGCAGCTAGTCCTAAACCCGATGCGTGTACTGGCGTAGCGTTCCATCCACACTTTAGGTAGGTGCTCTACGCCCTGCTTTCCTCTGAGAGAAGGTGTTTCCTCCAGAAGGAATGCAGTGCAGCCGTGTGTGTGTCAGCACTTTCTGCATCTGCAAACTTACATCAAGCCGAAGGCTGGGGAGTGACAGTTCCACCCAGTGACTCCAGCAGCCCCACCCAGAAAACTGCCTCTTCCTGCGCATTTCAAAAGGATGGAGATTTTTGAGTCCAGGAAGATATACTGGAGGCCTACTTTCAACTAAGAACTACCTCTTTTTTTTTTTTTGGAAGATGCAGAATGTAATTTGTTTAATTGGCTCTTTCACTCAGGGACTAGAAACCTTAATGATAACATTAGGGAAGAATGCAGGGCAGATAAAAGAGTAATCAAAAGCTGGGACTTTTCCAAATAATGAATGAAATAGGAAGTAATACTTAATCATTTGCATGTCCTTTTCAACATGGAAACTGCCACTGGGCCACAAGAATGGAGACCAAGAGGGTCTGGGACATTTAAGAGGATGTGGGATGGTAGGATGTGGAGATTCAACGGTCTTCCTTTCTGGAATCACTAGCCCAGAAGGTTTAGAGTTTCATCTAAATCTGCATTTGTTGTTGTTGTTATTATTGTTGTTGTTGTTTTATTACAGTCCTGGAGATTGAACACTGGGACTCATGGATACTAAACTAGTGTTTTAGCACAGAGCTACTCCCCAGGCTCCAGATGTAGCCTCCCACCTCTAATGGTGAATATCTGGATGACTTAAGAGAGAAGCCAACCTCCAGTTTGCAGATGCTTCCAGAAATAACTAAACAAAAGCTTTCTATTCCTCTTGAGAAAAGAGGAATTCCTGGTACCTCTGGAGAGGTGACATCACACACACTTACAGTCTGTAAGTGCCTGCCAATTTCAAACACACTAGCCTGACATTAGAATATCAGTTATGACTTCTGGATAGCAAATCAAAATGTTAATCGAAAGAGTAATACACATTCAATATTCTTCACTCACCGCAGACTATTTTTTAATCATATAAAACACGCCCAGCATAACAACACAGCAGCTTAGAGCACAGTTTATGGAAGCTGTCTGATCATGGGCTAGTGTATAAAATGACCTTGTGATCCTGTACCTACTGAGGTTCCTTTTGCAGGGAAGAATCTCTGGCATGCCTATGACGGTGGAGGAACATCTGGCAAATCAATAAAGTCTTTGTCTCAGAACTGCATTTTCAACTACACAGGGGGATTGTGTGATGGCAGGTTTCTGGTGTCTGTGACAAAACCAGACAGTCCAAAAAGTCCAACTTCTTTCATTCCCTTGTTTCGCCTTCGTGTGTCCGCCTTTCGGTTCTTGGAGACGGCATTCTTAGGTCATCTGCATTTATGAGCCCATCATTATATAGTAGTTTAGACTATGTAGGGGGTGGAGCAAACCTCATAATATCAGCCAGACCAAGCTAATAACTTTACAAAAAGAGATTCACAACAACTTGTCCCTGTAACCCAAATTAGCTTTTTAATGTAATCATGTTTGCATAGGATGATATTATAAATTAATCCATCTTTTAGAATTTCCTGCAACCGTTCGTATCTAACCCTTTAATTTTGACATGTCCGTTTTGGTGATGTCAATAAGATTTCCCTTCATTATATTTAATTGGAAAAAATGCCATAAGAAAGTAAAAGACAATTTAAGCTGTTGATGTGGAGCACAAAGACAATTCATGTATGCAGAAGACTCCATGTAACCTTTTTTTTAATTAAAAATTTTCACCTCCTCCCCTCCGTGTAACTTTTCTTTGTTACAAAGTGTTACATGCTCTCTGTGTGTGACACAGATATTGATAGCTAGCAACCTACACTCATGGGAAGGGTTACCAGAATCTCTCTTGCAAAATACCACTCTTTCTGGCTTACATCATTGGCTGGTGACATCAGGCATGAGCACCTGCCAAGATGCAGTGGAAGTGTTGAAATTGAATTTGTCAGCGTCTGGCACTGTGAATCTGGGTGAGTCCACATTTCCGTCCAAACCTTTGGCCCAGATCTATCCAGTACTGCATCTAAGAGCACACCTTTCAAGTCCTGGATGATACGTCTATTAATTATTCAAATCAATCGATGGGCGTGGGAGTCTCTGAGCACCTAGTGACCTAAGAATCCTAACCTTGAGAAGACCCCTGTTTTAAAAATTGTGTGCTGCCATTTGACTTCATGTCTCTACATAACCTAAATGGGAAAGGTTGCGGGCAACACCTGCCACTTCCAGAGAAATGCCTAATCAGGGATAGGAATGTGATTGTGTGATAACAAGGATACCCTGGCCCCGTCAAGTCTTATCTCAATCCCTCATGGCCTTTCTTTCTCATTTTTATGCCCCAGATGCAGCCATAAAATACGTATAGCACAGGTGTCTAGATTGAAATCCAGTTAAGACCAAAGGCATGCAGTTACAGCCAACAGCGTTTCTGATTCTCAGGGAGACACTAGTGAGAATTCGGGCTTAGTGGTGTACGACAGTAATCCTAAGCGTTTAGGAGGCAGAGGGAGGCTCTCAGAATTTCAAGACTAGCTTGCACTACTTATCTAGACTGTCTCAAAAGACAAAAAATAAACAAACCAAAGAAAGACTAATTAAGCCAAAGATCTTTCTGGAAAGGATGGCATTCTTCAGACCTTTTAAGCTACACACATTGAATATGAAGTTCTTGTGCTGCCATTTGTGAGGACTTACAAGGTTTGGGAAGCATTGCTTTAATTTATCTGAGGGACACGCGGCTAACTGCAAACGTGGTCAGGGACACAGAACTTTCATCTCTTCTGTCTACGCCGTACTCTTTTTGATGTTTCCCGACAGCATATAGAAAATTCATGTTGTAGGTTAACATCTGGGTGAACCTGGAAAGACAGCCAAGTGAACATCCAAGGAAAACCATTCTTTTCTGGCTAATATACATGATAGCTTTTGTCATAGATCGACCGCAGTAATTCCCTACTGTCATCTTCAGATATGCATGCCAGCCTCAGGGTGGGGCCAGCAAAGAAGGGAAGAGCCTGCTGCCAGGCGGGTGCTCAGACTCTGGAGACAGGGTACCATAAATACTGCTTGCTGTGTCCTCGGGACTCAAGGCCACTTGAGAATATTCTACGCTGTCTGTGGACAAGAATTGTCCAGCATTAACTTCGCTGGGCATGCCTGACTGGGGTTGGGGACAGATTACAACATCCAAGTTGTCAGTAGAATTCAGGAGAAACCCTCTTCCTTTCCACTACCTTCAGCCCTAACCCTACTCCAAATTGCCTCTTAGAGGAAAATAGTAAATTTTGATGGATCAGGTTAAGACAAAAATTAGACCTGTCAGAATGACTGAGATCAAAAACACTGATGATAGCTTATGTTGGAGAGGATGTGGAGAAAGGGGAACACTCCTCCATTGCTGGTGGGAGTGAAAACTTGTACAATTGTTTTGGAAATCAGTGTGGCAATTTCTCAGAAAACTAGGAAACTATCTACCTCAAGACCCAGAAATACTACATTTGGGTATATACCTGAAGGAAGTTCAATCGTACCACAAGGACATGTGCTCAACTATGTTCATAGCAGCATTGTAATAGCCAGAACCTGGAAATAACCTTGATGCCTCTCAATTGAAGAATGGGTAAAAAAAGAAAAAAAGTGGTACATTTACACCGTGGAGTACTACTCAGCAGTGAAAAAATAATTACTCTTGAAATTTGCAGACAAATAGATGGATCTAGAAAAAAACATATTGAGTGAGGTAACCCAGATCCAGAAAGACAAATATAATATGTACTCTCTCATAAGTGACTTTTAGACATAAAGCAAAGAAAAATCAGTCTACAATCCACAACCCCAGAGACCCTAGACAACAAAGAGGACCCTAGGAGAGACATACATAGGTCTAAATAGGAAGGAGAAAAAGACAAGAGCTCCTGAGTAAATTAGGAGGGTGGGGGTCATGGGAGAGTGTAGAAGGAGAAAGGGAAGGAAGGGAGGGCTGCTGAGAAACATGCATAGCACAATAAAAATAATAAAAATATTATTTAATAAAAGCAAAAATCCAAACAAACAAACAAAAAAGACAAAAATTGGAAATATAAAAAATATCTGTGTAACAGCTGCCACTTTTGTTACATCAGTTCTAATGCATGATGAGTTCTGGGTCTGTGAAACTTCATGGGGCCCTTTGGATATAATGCTCCGTTATAGAAGATGACTTCTCTGTTCCCCGGCAATAAGAAACATGAAGAAAAGGTGAAGGTGTCAGGAAGATCCCACCCACAGACATCAGACATTATTTCCCTTGGCTTCCGGGTGTTTGTTTTTAAAACAAGACCACATTTAGAAGCCAAGGTATCTTCCTGTAGGGAGAATGCACCAAAGACCACTTGTGTCTTCTGGCATAGCTGTGGGTAGCAGTGTGTCCCCAGCATCAATCGGCTTCTGGTGCCCAGGCTGCTAATTCAAGGTTCCCACGAGCCTTTAAGCCTGCTAGCTTGGTTGGATGACTGCGGAGTTTAATTACCGAGAGGCCTGTAGGGGGTGCTGTTGCCTCGCAAACCTCACAGGTCGCACCCACCCTCAGCTCCAACAGTTGCCCAGGAATGCCTGTGGTCTGAGAACCCACACTCACCTGGGAACTGGCTGAGTGGGATCTGATGACTCAGACACTGCCCTGCCCATGCCCTCAGCTGCTTTCTGCGACAGTACTTGTTGGATGTGTCTTCTCAGCTCACCAGCCTGCTGAGGTTACCTCCCAATTCAAAGCCTGGCACCGGCTTCGCCTTGTATACCAATTTAGTGAGGGCTCCTGACTCAACAGTGTGAACTTCTCCTCTCCCCTTCCCCTCATTCTAATGCATATCACAAATCCTGCCAGTGTGTTAGTGTCTTCGGTATCCCCTCCATATGTTGCAGACAGAGATGAAGTGGGCAGCCATGCCTTATAGTTAAGTTATAATCTTGATCCTTTTCCAAAGGTAATAGTAACAACAACAAGCGTCATTCATTAAGACAAGGCACAGTGTTAAATAATTTACTGACAGCATCTTCCAGTCCTCAGAGACAACAAGGACAGTTTTATTGGGCACGAGGGCAAACTGATTAACAGGAAAACTGTCGTCAGTGTAACAGGCTGAAGCTCAGTTCCAGCCCCCATGGGTGCCTTGCCATGACTTTATTTGGGGGATGGTTTTTGTTGTGATTTTATTGATTGGTTTTGTTTCTCTAAACTCAAGCTTTGTCACTTGTAAGAGGATGCCATCTGTTCATAGAATAAATGCTTGGTGATCACTGGCTCCATCGTTATGACTGACCCTTGTCAGATTAGAAACTAAAATCTAGAAAGATTAAGCAACATGTTTAATGACATTCTTCTACTAAGCCATGGAACTTGACAGTGGTCTCGCCTGTCTACTTGCAAGGCAAGTGGGTGCTGGGCTTTCAGAAACTCCTGTGCTTAGCAACATATGGCCTTGGCTAATCTTTATCAAGACTGTTTGAGGCAGGATCTACAATACAAGTCTGAATTCCAATGGGTTTTTAGCTTTGTAACTGAGAATGAGAGTTTCACCCCTTTTAGTCAATACTGCTCTATTAGAAAGTGGGAGAGAATATATATATATATGTGTGTGTGTGTGTGTGTGTGTGTGTGTGTGTGTGTGTGTGTAATGAAATTAAATCATATATCTGATGTATAAAGAGTCACAGCAGTAGTGCCCACCTAATAAGTACTTAAGCTCTCACTATAATAAGTTTATGGTGAGGTGATATATTTTTTTCCTGAAAATAATCACACCACAAAAGTGAAGCTTCTGCATTCTAGGGGCTGAGATATACTTAGACGATACCATAAGTCAGAAACTTATCTCGAAATGACCGACGGTTTGCTTGTGGAAGCAGGGGTTAGCAGGGTTATAGATTATGAGTTATTATCAAATGATTGAGGCATGATAATTGAGTTGGGTGGGATAGTATAACGGTAGATAAGAATGCATATGGCTCACAACACAAATATGAGCCAAGCTAGCTGTATTTGCTCATGTATGCAAGTATGTGGACATTTTGCTTATTTTCACACCAGCTTTTCACAATTCCATGTATCTATATCTGTCTCAGAGAAATCCTACATAAGCAAATACAAAGTCTAGTAATGCACGAATTGATCCCTTATGTCGGAATAAACATGTTTTGAAACGAGTATTAAAACAAAACTGACTTGCAGACATCACAGCCTTGGTCTCCCATCCTAAATGACTTAGTTGTAATTGGTAAGCATTTGAAGTGTTTTGCCTAGTATGTAAGATCTTAGGAATGTGGGGAGATTGTCATAACTCTCTTTATCTACTCAAATTTTGGGTAAGAGTGGCAAGGACACAATTCCAAGGCCTCATATTACTGCAGATTCAAATTCTTGCTGTCATAATGCTTGTTCATTCTTTATCACGTCATAAATGAATAGACCTCACAAGCAAAGTTTTTTGAAGTAAACTTACAAACATAAGATGGTTTCCATCCTGACATTGCTGATTTCCTGAGCCAATGTGATTAGTTCCAGGCCTCCTCGCTTTTTCATGACTCATCCACTCTTTTTCTTACATTCCAAGCAGACTGTTACGCTTAAGCAAGTTTTCAATGGTGGGGAAATAAATTTTCCTCCCTTCTACAAATTCAGGAAATTATCCCAAGCTGGGCTAGAGATGTGGTTTGGTAAAGCTTGTATTTGACATACATGAGACTCTGG